TTTCAGATGAATCCAGTCAGAGTTATATTAAAAATTGTCCTGGCTATTCCAAGCTCTATCATTGCAGTCGGCGGGTGTTGCAGTTGAACGGTCCACAAGTCCTCAAATAAAGCTGGCGCATCCATAATAAAACGTGCCGCGGACGGCTCCGGGGGGGTGAATAAAGGCCCCCTGTAGCGAATCCATGTGTTTTTGTAAGAAAAATATCCATATTTCAAACGTAATAAACACCCGCTGACTGCAACGATAGAGCTTGGAATACAATTGGACAATTTTTATTATAACTCCGACTGGATTCTTCTGAAAGAAGAAAGTCATATACACCTAGGATGCTTCAAGAGTGAGTAAAACACAAGCTAATTTTAATTTTTGGGTGAACTAACCCTTTAAATCTTAAAAGAAAAAAAAAAAAACTAACTTCATAACTGGCAAGTTACTTATAGTCAGTATAATGTACAGTGGGTACGGAAAGTATTCAGACCCCCTTACATTTTTCACTCTTTGTTATATTGCAGCCATTTGCTAAAATCATTTAAGTTCATTTTTTTCCTCATTAATGTACACACAGCACCCCATATTGACAGAAAAACACAGAATTGTTGACATTTTTGCAGATGTATTAAAAAAGAAAAACTGAAATATCACATGGTCCTAAATATTCAGACCCTTTGCTCAGTATTTAGTAGAAGCACCCTTTTGATCTAATACAGCCATGGAACCATCAAAACAAAGTGATAGCAGATATAAGCAAACAGTCTATTAATACTGACTGCTAGATGACATGTAGTTGCCAAAATTACTTATAGTAAACAGAATGTTTAAAGGGGACAATTAAAATAAAGTGTTACACAGTCAGGTAGCAGCTGCTTGGGAAGGCTGTTAAATTTGAGCTATTGGGAAAAGTTGGTGTAATCGGCTCTGTAAATTAGCAAGCATTGAGTAGGATACACCATAAAATATTTTTGCCTGTTGTGTGCAGTGTGTACATTGTTCTACAGCAGTGGTAGAGCTTTCTTTTTTGGTGAGTACAAGTCTGGAAGCTCCAGAAATTATATCTGCAAAAATGCATTGCATGAATTGCATATTTAATCTAAACGCAGTTGATCTAAAAGTATTTTCACCCAAATAACATTGTAAAATACTCCAAAGACTTCTATGACGTTTCATTATAATTCTACAGTATGTGGCTCTACTTCCACAAGAGTGTGGCATATTAATTTGTGTTGCCATGATTAAATTGTCAACATTCATCTTCAAATTTATGTGAGTTTGCAAGTGTAAAGGAAATGTTTGAAGAAAGTTCATAAACTTATCCTCAGAAAAGCAGATCCTGGATTGTGGAGAACTTCATAATAATTTGAATCACTCAAAATATGCTGTGATGTTGTGTTTCTGAGAAATTATTTTACTGACGCCCACATCATTTCTCATTGTTCAGCATTCATTTGCAAATAAGTCAAACAGAGATATTTCCTGAGCAAAGCTGTTTCTTATGTTAAGATTCAAACTGAAATTGAATCTGATTTAATTTAATTTAAAGTGTGTTAGAATCAGCTTTAAAATGGTTCACATCCACAAGTAGTGTTTCTACTCCCTGTCATTTTGATCAAAGTATTAATTTTTAAAAAGAAATCTAATGACCCCCAAACTTTTGAACAGTAATGCAAGTGATTTCATGGTTTTCCCTACATTGTGAGGAAATTTGGCCATCACAAGTGATGATAAAAGCTCTCACTCACACACGTGGCTGCTCCACCCAGCCCCTCCTCACCTCCCAGCCCTGCAGCTCTGTTTTTTACATGTTCTTGCAGGTTATACTGTTCTCAGAATGCATTTGAACTGCTGACGAAGGATCAGCAAAAATTTTACGCAACCAACTTATGATTGAAACTTTGGCTGCTTACCACTGATTTTCAAAAAAGTGCCTGTACATGCTGTGCCAAAAACAAAATGTACTCAGTGACTTGAAAATGTGCGCTCATACAGCATTTATTGATTCAACAGCATTAATGTGTTTGTGTGTGGTCTGATCAAACACTGACTGAGATTATAATAACATTCGTATATCAACCTGAAGCATATCTGGGACAGACAGAGACCTCTATAGCCTTAAAATTATATGAGAACATGAGAGGAGCAGATCTATCAACTTCATCTGGAAGTGATATTGACAAAAGCGCAACTGACAGGTGTGCAGGTCACATCATGGAAAAAAGGCCTGGAGAGGGGAAATGAAAGAGTGTTGGAATGTTACCCTTAGAGGCAAATCCTACTGAACTTGTTTTTTTGTTTGTTTTTTGTTCTACCATTATATTATACTCTTTGGCACAGCGCATTATTTTCTTACTTTCTTCAAAGCCATAAGAAAGTGAATATTTATCTTGCTGCAGCAAAAATCCAGGATTACCCTCTAGGCCAGCAAGCACCGGAAATCTGGATTATGAATCCACAAATGAATTTGTCCAGTAGGATTGGCTGTCGGGTCTTTCCTCAGAGTACAAAGCGCACACCCACAGGAGGTTCACACTCCTTGGGACAATATGAATGAGGATGATGTCTAAGAATCACTCACCCAGGGCAGCACAACAAATTCATGCTTAGCAATCCATTTAGAGAGTCATTTTGATAGTTGAGAGCTTATTCTCGTAATATATGAAGTATGTAAGGCACTGGATTTAATATTGTGCATTAACTCTAAATGTAACCGGAAGTTATGAATCATAAACTGATTTTAAAGAAAAGTAAAACTAAAGAAATTTCAGCAAGATCTAAACAGAAGATTACAGTAAGAACACAGTAAAACATAAACAAAGAAAACTGTACAACGAAAAGAAGCTAAAAACTGTTTTTTTTCTTGTACGTGTACATATTGTCTACTGATTTGGTCTTCTCTAAAGAAACCTGACATTTATGTTGATGAAAGCTAGGTGTATCTATTGTTGGACCAAAGATAGATTTTATGTTTGCTTTTTGTTTTGTCAAGTGACCTCTCTATTGGGTTCTTGCTAATGGATGTTATTGCATTGTTGGTAATACTCATTCAAAATAATTCTGTTCTGCATTTGATTCAGCAAAAACAACATGCATTTGGTGTATCAGTCTCTGCGAATAGAGTATTTGTTGATATATAATAGTATAACGTTGATATCTGTATTTGAAATCATTCCTTTTTATAATACACTTATGTGACCTCCTTGCTCTGAGTCTCTTACGCACACACATACATTTTGCTGAATTGGTATTCAAGCAAACAGTGCCATCTCGTGTTTACTAATGTAGTTCAGCGGTGCAAGAGCGAAAAAGGTATGAACTTATATAATTTTATAATACATACTTTCGGTAAATATCATAAAATATAAAGGATTATACATTTAGTCTAACTTTATTCCATTTTATAAATAGTTTATATATAGTCAAAAAATATAAATAAACTAAAAGGCTAAACTACTACTACTACTTATAAAGATAGGCTGTACGCCTTTAATAATAATTATTATTATTATCATTATTATTTTATCCTGCTGCAGAAACTTTTTTATTATCATTATTAATTTAGTTTATTTATATTTTGTTTAACCTATAATAAACCACCAAACAAATGTGATTCGGTGTACGCGCGGGGTGGGGTGTTATTGGGGTAGACAGCATCTCGAGAAAGGCTATTTTGTATTTATGGACGCAGGAGGGCGCCAGAGGTCCCCTCGACAACTTGTCACCTGAGCAGAAAATAAAAGGGACAAGAGACTGACTTCAACTGCGAAACTCTGTTTTGAATATCGATATGACTGTACAATCATTTTGTGTAGCTGCGTACTATAGTAATGACCACCCACGTTTTGATCATTCTTCATCCTTCTTCATCTAACAAACCCAATCCAACGCCAGCACTAACATGATCCATTTTATTGGCCACTTTACATGAGGTATAGGCTCTCATAACATGACTACTTTAAATTTTAAATATGTATTTATAAAATAACAAAACTCTATTTTAAATCGCACCACAGAAGAGACAAGTCACCTATTATATCTGGTAGAGTTTAGGCCACAAAGTTTGTTGAGTTGACAGAATACTTAGTAAATGGCCAGTTCTCGTGACTGAGGTAGTTTTCTATGTAGGTCTGTGCACGAGGCGTTTGGCGCGACAGAGCATCATATAGGGCTGGTTCCACGCTTTATCCCTGCTGTTTACCGGGGCATAATTGCTGTTTTGCGCACCTGTGGGTGTGAGGAGACTGGCGCCGTCTGTGATTAGTCAGAGGAATGCAGACTGCTTCCGTAAGATACACTGACAACATTTCAACGATAGATGGCAATCCAGTTAAACCGTGCTTCTCAACAATGGGGAAATATATCCCTTTAATCGAGACTGTACGCTTCATTTGATGCTTTTAGACTATTAGTTGGTCTAAATGTAGGCCATTGATCGAGTAGGCTAATTTACACGCGCACTGCTCCATTTGCAAGGTTAAAGGTTCAGGGTTCATCTTAAGGTTGCATAAACAAGAAAATTGCATTGGAATTACATAATTCAATTAGCTGCACAACAAAATGTTACTACTATTGAAAAAGATCATGCTCCTTTATACATTTTATTCTCATTTATGGCTAGTTTTCATATGAGAAAAAAAAAATTGTCTCTAGGACTATTTTGCGGTTTCCTGTCTCTTTTTGAAATTCCATAATTTTGCTAATGTATAATTTATTTAGAAGACAAATGGTTATATTTATTATCTCTTTGCTAATAATAATAATAATAATAATAAAACCTTAATAAGACCAGGGCTGCAAGATATTTTGTTATTTCAACTTGCTAGAGGTCTTCCTTCAGCTGGCAGTGCACTGCTTCTGGACTGCCTGCTAACCGATTGGTTCGCTTTACCACATGACGCCCAGTATATGGCCCGCCCGTCAGCATCTCCAAGACAGAGACCGCCGCGGAGCTCAAACCCTCTATCAACTATGGATATGTAACTTAAGGCGAAACCAACTACCGCTATAAGTTGTGTGATCTTTGTATCACGGTTCATTGTTAGAGGTGCAGATTTTGAATAGCTATTTTAAGTGGTCACGGTAAGTAAATTCAATTTAATGTTTTTTCCCCTGCAAAATGACCGCTGTTCTGGATAGCCTTGGCTCGGATATGCATACAAACCATATTACCTCGAGCAGCTTCAGCACCGTTCACAAGTCGCAGGATTCCCCAACATTGCCGGTGTCAACTGTGACCGACAGCAGCTTCTACAGTAGTTCACAGACAGGTCACTGCGCGGGGACAGCGTACGCACAGATGGCATCTTATTCCTATCATCCTGGTACATTGGGTAATGTTCACTACAGCCCAAAGGCTTACGATTTAGGCTATGCTTCTTCCTATGGCGCTTACGGAACGTATGGACCCAGTTCTTCACCAACACCAACCGAACCAGGTAAGACCACCTCAGAATTACCAGTATTACCTGTTGTCTTCTTGTGATATTTTACAATGACAACTTTTGTGGTTAACTTTTTATAGAGAAAGAACAGAGTGAACCGGAGGTGCGCATGGTGAATGGAAAGCCAAAGAAAGTCCGGAAACCGCGAACCATCTACTCCAGTTTTCAGCTGGCGGCTCTCCAGCGCCGATTCCAGAAGACCCAGTATCTCGCGCTCCCAGAACGCGCCGAACTGGCGGCTTCTATGGGCCTCACACAGACCCAGGTCAAACGCGGCTCTTTTACTGCATGCTGTGGCTAGAAGTCTGTATTTCTGTAGTTCTTTTTATTTTCAGGCAGAGCTGTGTTAGTTGTTTAACTTGGATGCGCTTTGTTGTGCACCACAGGTGAAGATATGGTTTCAGAACCGACGCTCAAAATTCAAAAAGTTGTGGAAAAACGGCGAGATTCCACCAGACCAGCAGGTTGCCGCCGGTGACTCTCCCTCTAGCACTCCTCCACCACAAGCAGGTTGGGATTTCCCACCGAACCAGACACCGAACGACGGGGACACAGTTTCGGAACAGCCCACAGGACCACCAAACACCACCGCCTCATCGTTTTTGACTAACTATTCATGGTACTCATCCACCAATACGGTCCCACATCTACAGCCCAGTACCCTAATACAATCTCATCACAGCTCTGCAATGAGTGCTGGGACCATATTCTAAAAGAGGACTAAAAATGGCCGAATACACCTGTTGTAGGCCTATATAATAGGCCTATTCTGTCACTGGACTTGTATCTTAGGAAAACATTAACTTTAAAATCTACAACAAAATGTTACTACTATTGAAAAAGATAATGCTCCTTTATACATTTTATTCTCATTTATGGCTAGTTTTCATATGAGAAAAAAAAATTGTCTCTAGGACTATTTTGCGGTTTCCTGTCTCTTTTTGAAATTCCATAATTTTGCTAATGTATCATTTATTTAGAAGACAAATGGTTATATTTATTATCTCTTTGCTAATAATAATAATAATAATAATAAAACCTTAATAAGACCAGGGCTGCAAGATATTTTGTTATTTCAACTTGCTAGAGGTCTTCCTTCAGCTGGCAGTGCACTGCTTCTGGACTGCCTGCTAACCGATTGGTTCGCTTTACCACATGACGCCCAGTATATGGCCCGCCCGTCAGCATCTCCAAGACAGAGACCGCCGCGGAGCTCAAACCCTCTATCAACTATGGATATGTAACTTAAGGCGAAACCAACTACCGCTATAAGTTGTGTGATCTTTGTATCACGGTTCATTGTTAGAGGTGCAGATTTTGAATAGCTATTTTAAGTGGTCACGGTAAGTAAATTCAATTTAATGTTTTTTCCCCTGCAAAATGACCGCTGTTCTGGATAGCCTTGGCTCGGATATGCATACAAACCATATTACCTCGAGCAGCTTCAGCACCGTTCACAAGTCGCAGGATTCCCCAACATTGCCGGTGTCAACTGTGACCGACAGCAGCTTCTACAGTAGTTCACAGACAGGTCACTGCGCGGGGACAGCGTACGCACAGATGGCATCTTATTCCTATCATCCTGGTACATTGGGTAATGTTCACTACAGCCCAAAGGCTTACGATTTAGGCTATGCTTCTTCCTATGGCGCTTACGGAACGTATGGACCCAGTTCTTCACCAACACCAACCGAACCAGGTAAGACCACCTCAGAATTACCAGTATTACCTGTTGTCTTCTTGTGATATTTTACAATGACAACTTTTGTGGTTAACTTTTTATAGAGAAAGAACAGAGTGAACCGGAGGTGCGCATGGTGAATGGAAAGCCAAAGAAAGTCCGGAAACCGCGAACCATCTACTCCAGTTTTCAGCTGGCGGCTCTCCAGCGCCGATTCCAGAAGACCCAGTATCTCGCGCTCCCAGAACGCGCCGAACTGGCGGCTTCTATGGGCCTCACACAGACCCAGGTCAAACGCGGCTCTTTTACTGCATGCTGTGGCTAGAAGTCTGTATTTCTGTAGTTCTTTTTATTTTCAGGCAGAGCTGTGTTAGTTGTTTAACTTGGATGCGCTTTGTTGTGCACCACAGGTGAAGATATGGTTTCAGAACCGACGCTCAAAATTCAAAAAGTTGTGGAAAAACGGCGAGATTCCACCAGACCAGCAGGTTGCCGCCGGTGACTCTCCCTCTAGCACTCCTCCACCACAAGCAGGTTGGGATTTCCCACCGAACCAGACACCGAACGACGGGGACACAGTTTCGGAACAGCCCACAGGACCACCAAACACCACCGCCTCATCGTTTTTGACTAACTATTCATGGTACTCATCCACCAATACGGTCCCACATCTACAGCCCAGTACCCTAATACAATCTCATCACAGCTCTGCAATGAGTGCTGGGACCATATTCTAAAAGAGGACTAAAAATGGCCGAATACACCTGTTGTAGGCCTATATAATAGGCCTATTCTGTCACTGGACTTGTATCTTAGGAAAACATTAACTTTAAAATCTATTTTCAGGCCGGGTTTGCTCAAGATGTTTGCTGCGGAACTCTTTGGCGCCACTAATGCGCTCAAGCAACGCACATTAAATTATTTTTCTATTTATTTATTTGTTTTCGTTATAGTCTAAATGAAAGGGGTAATCAGAGAAGCTTGTTTCACATTCCAAGTACAAACGGGTAGACTTTTTTCGTGTGTTGTTCAGGATATATTACGTATAGTGATAAATCTATTAAAATGCTTATAACCTCCAGTCATAATTAAATGTGCATTTTACTATCAGTTTAACGTTTGGTTCTTTTATTGTCGTTTCAAGTGTTTTTTTTTTCTTCAACCCAAGGATTTTGTGGAGCTGGGTTTTTTTTTAATTATTATTATTTATTTATTTTTATTTTTAACGTGGCAACCAAGCACTTTGTTTTGTTTTTGCTAAAATGGTGGTCTGCATAGGTTTGTAAAGAGCATTAGCCTACATTTATGTCTACATGCAGACTTTTTCTGTGCATATCTCGGTTTCTTTTGCACGCGCTATGCATGTGTGATTATTCGGTAGAACGAATCTGATCCTATTTAATCCTTTGTAAATGTCCTTGGTGAGGAGGGATCCTGTACCTCTCATGAGGGGGAACGCCTGGCATTCGGACGCGTCTTGGCATGCGCAGAAGGAGATGCGAGGGCGTTCCGCGTGCGGCGAGGGCTCTTCCCACTCCAGACTCTCTGGAGTCAGCTCGCTCCTCTTCCAGACGTTTTATGAACGCCACTCAACCAGAGAAAAAATACATAAAACCGCCTCAAGCAGACCGCCCTGGAAACATTCTCCACGAGCCCTCGCTTCCAGCTCCAGCACAGCCTTGAGCTATTCTTGTACGGGGACACACAGTTCTCATAGCTTGCTTCACGTCTTTACATGGTCAAGTTCAATCTTTTTGGAACTAAAATAGTTACCGGAATAGGTGGGAGACCCGGCTTACTCTAAGGGCAAAACACTACTTCCCCAAGTGTACATTATTTTTCAAATTACTATGAGGCTTCGCCCATGTTTGCATATTATATACAGCATCTGTAATCCATGTAGGTTTATTTGTCATTGTGAAATTGGGATTAAAAGTTGCTTTAATTAAGGCAAATGCATACAAATAGACTGCATATTTTCTGTATTAGGCCCCCAAATTGTGTGAATATTTTCTGCATACATTTCATGAACTATTATCCATCTCTATAATTTAAAAAAAAATAAACATTTGTTTTACCTAAAAATTAAATTGTATATTAAAGGAAAAAATTAAAAGAATATTAGGAATATCAGGAAGAAATCAATCAGCTTGGCCGAACAAACAAACAAAGAGCAGCATAACAAATCAGCTTCATACAGAATCATCAGTATTCCGAGGTTTACCCACGAAGCTATTTAAAAAGAAAAAGTTTCATGGGCTGTTGTAACTAATCGTTTATCTTATAGGATTTGTTTCTTTTGAGGTTCATTTGAGCTTCCGCGGTTTTTCTAAATATGGACATAGTGGTTTGGGGCCCTTGGATCCTTCGATTCTTATTGAAAAAGGCGTCTATTTTTATTCTGATTTTGGTAAAGGCCTATCTCATTTATATACACATGCAGGTACAGCAAATGCTTCTATGATTGTAACACATTTGACCGTTCTGCTTCGTTCTCCTTATGTCAACATTCACAGCTGGCAGTAATTGAAATGCCAGGGCTTATATGCAACCACACCACTATGAGTCCAAATGACTGCTTCCGTTTAGATTCAAAGCTACATCTGCATGAAGCGGAGGGTCTCTGCATTACAAGAACAGAACAGAAAGGATACATTTTGCGGTGTTGTCTGTAATCATATTTTGTAGTGCATTAGCCTATTAATAACCACTTTCTGTTCACTGCAGAAAAAGTTCCTGCGATGGTGGGCTGTCAGTAATGCAAAAGTTGATTTGCATACGTTTTGCTGGATCTTTTCTTTTTCTTTGCTATGATTAAAAATGCATTGTACGATCAAGAAGAAAACAAAGAACTACAAAGCATTAACTTAGCCTAACCAAATGAAACGAACAAAATAGCTATTAAAAATATTGAGCTTTAACTTCAGATAGGAATAGATCATGAAACATCGTAAACAAAACAGAAATATGGAAAGATAAACGCTGAAACGAAAAGTGAGCGAAAATACGAGTTTTTAAGTCAATTAGCTACTTTAAAGTCAATATAATGATCTGGAACATCCTTCATGGCAGAATACAGCACCTGCGAACGGTTCAGCGCTACATGCTGCAGCCATAGGCTATCTACATAAGAAAAAACGCCTATTGATTCCCTGCCTATTCCCTTTTCTTTTGTCCGACTGAAAAGATCCCTCCACGCCAGAAATTGCTCGTAATTGCGACAGACAGAGGAAAATGCGTGAGGATGCACAAGAACCAAATGGCTGCAATTATGATTCGATTTAATGAGCACAGCTTAGAAAGGCAGGCACCATGCGGTCAGTAAGTGCGATCAAATCACATCAACTAAACTAGTAGACCAACTACAGATAAACAGATTATTATCATTAATATTAGAAACTTTTACTTGGTCTTTATAGTGCATCATCTTTAATCGATGGGCTTTTTAAGTTCTTTTTTATGTGATTACAAATAAAACACGATCATTCACGCACGTTTAAATCTGTCTGGTGTCGTCCCTAATAAATCTCGTTTTATACGTAGGCCTACACATCATTTGCTTTATACGTTTTCTTTTATAATATCGAGTTAAACCCCATCTGATCATACAAACTAACATATTTGATCGGTTAGCCTATAGCTAAGTGTAGAGAAATTGCGCGTTTCTTTAGCCTAAATATAGAGCTTACCGTTTCAACCAAAAAGCAGAAGGAAACTTCCCAGATGGCACAGCTACGGATTGACTAAGGGTCACAATGTAATTAACTTTAATTGTACACATCATAGAGGCAGCACAGCGATTAAACAGATGCAGAACGGAAGGCGGCTCGTGCTCCTAGACTAAGCGCACTTTCTGATTTGTCATTTGACTTTCGGTTGTTGTTTTTTTAGCGATTTAATATTTGTAAATCCACACACTTAAAAACGTAAATTGTAAGACTGAAAGCTATGAACACTGCTATTACATGCGGATTTCAGACAGCAGAATTCCAACTCTTGTCAAATGTCAGACAGCATAAGCAGTTTGCCAATGTTGTCCTGAAGCAGATATATGATTATAGGGTATTCTTGATACGCTACACATGGCTCATACGGGAACCCATGGCCCATAAATATAATCACCTCTCGAGAGATGCACAGCGCTAACTACATTACTGCGGGGTAATATTATGATGTACGGAGAAACCCCGCCATAATAATAAGACATAATGACATTTCATTCCCTGTGCTTTCAATGAGTTCAGTCAGAGATGACATCAGAAACCAAAGAGTTTGGAATAGTGAAGAGATTTTGAAACTCATTACACAATAACCTACATGCATTAAACAATTAACCTTATTAATTCATAATGTAAAAACGCAGCGTGGAGCTGCACAGCTGTTCCATGCCATTTGGTCAGGCTAATAAAATAAGATAAAACATTGGATAAATGGCAAGAAACATTTATTTAAATAACAGATTCTATTACTCTAAAAACTCAGATCCATCTCACAAGTCACACTTCAAGATGTTCCATATTCTTGTCCAGTCAATCTTCATCTGGTAGTTTGGTCAGAATCTCTACACCATCGCTGGTGATGACAACCGTGTGTTCAAATTGGGCCGATCTGAGCATTATCACACAAGAAAACAAACACACAGGTAAACATGTTGAGATTCAGTTGTTCCTCTAAGACCACTGGTTCTCAAACAGGTCCAGGGCCCACCAGGGGGCCACGGCAAACTTAGATAACTTTTATATCATAATGAATGTGATTTTCCAGACCTAGAAAAGTTATATAAATTAATAATAATACAAAAGTCACAACAATAATAATAATAAAATCTTATAACACCATTAGAGTTTTTATACATTTTATGAATATTGTCTAGTTCTGCCAAGCTCAAAACTATTTTGTAAGGAAGAAATTGTGAGTCCTTATTCAGTAAATCACGATGGGGCCTCGGAGTCTAATGTATCCATTTTCTTATATCGCATATTACCCCACTCAACCTTAAAAATCAGAGCTCTAATCAACCACTGACCAAGTAGTAACACTCGCCACGGCAAACTTAGATAACTTTTATATCATAATGAATGTGATTTTCCAGACCTAGAAAAGTTATATAAATTAATAATAATACAAAAGTCACAACAATAATAATAATACAATCTTATAACACCATTAGAGTTTTTATACATTTTATGAATATTGTCTAGTTCTGCCAAGCTCAAAAATATTTTGTAAGGAAGAAATTGTGAGTCCTTATTCAGTAAATCACGAAGGGGCCTCGGAGTCTAATGTATCCATTTTCTTATATCGCATATTACCCCACTCAACCTTAAAAATCAGAGCTCTAATCAACCACTGACCAAGTAGTAACACTCTGCTCTCACCTGCCAACAGGGCAATCAGCTCATTTGCAATTTACACTGAAGTGCTCTCCAGTGAAATATATGCAGTTAAAGGAAAGTTTATCCCAGAGCACTTAACTCTCTATATGTGCTTCAAATTCTGAGGGTACTCAGTCTTTCCAAGCTAAATGTCAACAGCCAATAGAAATAAAGTTCTTGAAGATTCTCAGTAGAAATTGGCCACTTATTCTTGTATGAAGTAATGAATGATTAATGTAGGCTACATTTAAATGGCTGCATTTGGGCTCTCATTAGAAAGGTGGTGAGAGAAGTGTGGGAGAGGAAATTCAACACAACATGCACCTTTTGTCATCCACAGAAACAGCGGTCCACTTGTCCCTCAGGATCTTGAATTCTGAGGATCCTTCCATAAGAATGGGTTCTGGAAAAAATGGATGGATGGTTTAACTTCCTGAAATGTACAAATGCATGCTTCCGTTGATGTTCTTAATAACATTCAATCTGTCTGTCATCTAAAACAATGATGAGTACACACACAGACCTATGGTGAAGGACATGCCCTCTTCCATCTGTAGGTCAATGTCATTGGCTGTAAAAGAGAAAAGAAGCATGAACCACCAAAAGAAAATCATCTACTGTATATAAACAGAGTAATTCAAAGGGTCCTTGCACCATTACCCTAATTAATGGTAAAACATCTTAGCTTATCACATTAATCAATTGTATTCAAATGGCTGCAATAGAGTTTAACAAATGAATTAGCTTTAGAAGTAAAGCTCATAGATAAATTAAAGGGTTAGTTCACCCCAAACTTAAAATTGTCATCATTTACTAACAGTCATTAATCTAAACCTGCACTAAAGAAGATATTAGCATCCAAACTATATAAGATCTTTGACTTTCATTATAAGGACAATGAAATTAGATTACTGACTTGCATTGTAAGCACAAACAACAACAAAACACCCTGTGACATTTTTTCCAAATATCTTGCGTTCTACAGAAGAAATTCAGGCATACAGGTTTGGACATGACATTTTCAGTAAAGTATCCCTTTCAAGTCAATTTCTAAATATTAAGTTAAAATAAATTAATACATAAAATAAAAGTTTAACTCTCACCATGATGCCATATCTCTGGATAACCATGGAAATATGTGCCGATCCCATGGCCGATAAAATATGGACACACACAAAATCCATTTGAATTCGCTATTTTGCTGTAATTCAGAAACAAAACAAAATAAATACTCAAATGTATGTTTAGCCAGGTTTATCTTGGTTGATGTGTGATAAATTGCTTGTGTATTTTCCTTTTTTGGATATTGGGTAAAAAAAAGTCTGGTTTACCCATGAGCCTACACACAATTAGGGCGCTGCCTTTGAAATGTCAAATTTCACCATGTTGCCTACATGTAAGTAACATTTCAGACAGCTTTTCACTGTGAGTAAGGCACGCTTGAAATGTTCTCGAATAGTTGTTTTTTTTATATTCTGGGAGGCGGGAGGGGGAAGGTAGAGGACAAAGGTGTGTAACAGACAAAAAGAAAAAGACGAAAGAGAAAGAATAAAAGACAGAGACAAAGAATTGCAAAGAGAGAGCTGGAGAGAGGATGCTAGGGTGCCAGCATGATAAAAAAAATAAAAGTGAGAGATTGAGAGGAGTGAAAGAGAGGTCTAAGTGCTTTTTTCCTGTAATGATGTCAAGGCTACAATGTGATTATCAAGGCACGTGTGAAACAAGTTGCCCGTTACATTTTCTCAAATGGTAGAACCACAGAGGTTGGTATCTACCAGTAATAGAACCATCTCTGCTAGAAATGTCTAGGCAGGGGTTTTAGAGCAGGTTGTAGCTAAACTCTGCAGTTTGTTGGCCCTTCAGCAGCAGGACTGCTCCATGCCATTGACACATATACTAACAAACAAATGTATAGACATGCAGTCACAACAAATCACTTCCGCTTGATAGCACTGAGTTACCTGTCTGGAATGCCATGGCATACTACATTGTTAACAGAGGTACAGACTGACTTCGGAAAGCCCCCATAATGTAAAGGAGAGGGGTAGGCATTGTGACGAATGGCTTCCTGATGGACTATAAAGTCTATTTCATCTGTCGACATACCAACCTAGAAAACAAACAATATGACGCGTCACATCAAGCTTATTCAACATTACGTTCTCAAATTTCAGGTAAGTGTAGAGTATACCTTCAAACTCTTTCCTGCCAGCAGCAGTACATGTCTGGCTAGTTGACATGCTCGTCTCAATCCTTGGATCTGCTCCTCATCTTTAATCTCTATGTAATCTAGCCACTCAGGCACTTTGCTGGATGACACATAGTCCGGCTTCTGGATGTGCTGAGAGAAGAGAGCATACATACATAAAGATCATTCGTGATGCATAAAGCTCAAAAATCTATTCTTTTTCCAAACTAATCAACATTAAATTGTTAGCGTCACTTGATGAGGCCACAATTACCTTTGGTACAGCATAAGAGGGGCGCACTACACCAGGCCGGACCACACTGCGGGAACTATTCCATTTCTTCCAGAAGAAACATCGGTGAGGTGGGCATTGGTGGACAGCAGATGAGCTTCTGTAGCAGCTGGGCAGCTGTGCTGCTCTCTGGAGCAGGCTTGCACCACCTATACACAGCAAAAAAGATTAACAAATGGTGTGATAATGCACTGCAAAGTGGATTTCTCAGAGGTGTGAAGTGTGATACCAAATTCAAGTAAATGTACATGTTCAGTCCAAAGGTCACTTGAGTACATTGATATATTGAGATCACTTTATACGATGTTGAAATAAAAAAAGCTAAGCAAAGCAAGTTCCAAACCAAATATAGTACCTACTAGACAGTATGAGATTTCGAACACAGTGACAGTTAAAAGGAAATAAAAAAAGTTAAAAAAAAGTCGCTGGCATTTGCCAAAAATTTGGTAATTTTGCACTACATTATTGAGTATGACCAACTAGATTCATTTAAATTAGAGCTGTGAAAAACAATGCATTAATTTGTGAATGTCTTTTCCCCAGTGTTTCAGTGAGAAAATATGGCAGACACAAAAGATGCAGCATTCATGTTGACGGTAAATTTGTTTAAATTAATTAAATATGTTTTCCATTTACAACAATAAATTTGCACGTACAAAATACAATATTTTTGTACAATTACAATAGAATATAATGATTCATTTGACCATAAACTGAATAAAAACATAAAAATGCAAAAACACTTAATTAATCATGCTGTAGAAGTAGAGGTAAGAAATCTTGCTCCAACCAAAGTGACATCATCCCCATTTGACATCATAATTGCAACTTCTTAACCTGTAAATATCGCTGCATTCAAATCCTCCTGGGAAGTTTGTATTTATGAGTTGGGATATCATAATTACGATGTCAGGTATGTTGAAGTCATTTGGTCGGAGAAATTAACTTGTGCAGTTAATTAGTTAACTTTTTAATTGATTATTTTGTAGCACTAATTTAAATATATAAAATCCATATAGATGAATTGCATTATATATATATATATATATATACAGTGGGGCAAAAAAGTATTTAGTCAGCCACCAATTGTGCAAGTTCTCCCACTTAAAAAGATGAGAGAGGCCTGTAATTTTCATCATAGGTATACCTCAACTATGAGAAACAAAATGAGAACATCATAATATTCTAAACTACACTTGCATGACTCGAGTGTCTGTGTTTGATGATGTTGCAGGGCATTTAAATCAAATGTATGAACATTGTCAAGTTAACATATTCTCAAAACCTGTGAATCATGTGCCAAACCCATTCCCTCTCTCACAAGAATAACACAGCTGCAATGTAAACAAACAGTCCATACAATTACACAATGCAGTGATGCTCACATAATATGCTTAATTTTGAATCTGAACCACAAACGAAAATAATCTGAGATCCACCACCACACATCAACAACCATGTTGTAACTCATGCCAACAAGGACTGCAGAGTTTTGGCTTTAGAATTTTTTTTTTTTTAAAAGTTAAAATGAACTGTGACCAAAACACAGTGGTCAAAAGCCCAAAATAAGTGCAGTTATACACAGGAGAGGACTTGAGTTACAAAAATGAAAATACCAGGGATGAAGGAAGTAGTTCAGAACCAGTGAAGGGGCGACTGGGGGTTTATAATAAAGGCAGTAGTGGGTTAACCCAGGGTGGGGTAGTGGCTGTGTGTAGTGACAACAATTTGGGTGGTAGACAGCAAAGGATGTGGCCAAGGATGTGGATTGAACTGAATTCCCTTTGTGTATGTGTGTGGTCGACTTTAGACTTAGTCTTGTGCTTTAGCTATAATATATAATCCTTACTTCAGGACTATGAGTTCTATTATTATGAAGTTCTATTATTTTGTATATTATTATAATGTAGAAAATCAATCGCTGCATTAGTTCTTAAACAACATAAATGTCATAAAAGTTTAATGAATAATGCAGCTAGGTCAGACTCTAAGCTTTCAAATGAAACCTATTTGTGTTGATTAAAGGGATAGGTCACCCAAAAATGAAAATTTGATGTTTATCTGCTTACCCCCTCCCTTTAAGGCAGATATTTTGAAAAATATGCTTATTGTTTTTTTCTTCGCTAGGGGGCGTCCGCTCAGGTTTAGAGGAACTAGGCAGCAATGGGGTGCGTTTCCCGAAAGCAGCTATGGTCGCATGTTCCGTCGTTGCTAATAGAATTCAATGGAACTAACGACCATAGTTAGCTTAACGATGGTTTTGGGAAACGCACCCCTGGTTAGGAGTTGATCAAAATGGTTGAATGCATATTTCGAAAGCTGAATTTCTAACCTTTAAAAATGATACCTAATTATTTTTTTAAAATGTTATATAAAAGATAAAATAAACAGAAACATTATATGTTTTACATTCTGCTTGCCAAGTGTCCAATAGAGCTCTCCAACTGATTTCTTCAATTCATGGGTTTAGGTATTATTTACACACAAAAGTCGCAATGGATTGTTTTGATTTTGGACTCATTTCAATCGTGAGAATCTGCTGTAAATAATGATATGCCATTTTCCGATCGGGGCATGTTTCATGAAATGATAAGCGTAAAAAAAACATGAGAATATTGCAACGTGCGCATTTGGAGTTTTATGTGTTATAACCCGATGACGAATATCTTTAGATCTACATGACAGCTTATGGTATGAATGGGCTCATTTTAATCGAGGGAATTTTCCATTTTCCATGATCTATGCATGTCTCGTGAAGTTATGAATGTTTTTCTCAATTCAATGGTTTCGTGTGTGTCATAACATCACATGGTAAGTCATATAATTAGAGCCAATGAACGAATTCGAGAATTTTCTGAAAATAATGACGTGCAATTTTCCATGATCTATGCATGTTTCATGAAGTTATGAATAAAAGCGCAAAGTCAAACTACAGTTATTTGTCCTGCTGCTCCTGAAGCGCGCCCATTGGGTTTTATGTGTTATAGCAATATGAGCAATATCTTCAGATCTCATGGACTGATTATGGTATCTCTGGGCTCATTTTAATCGGGAGAAGTTTTCTGAAAGTAATGACGTGCGGTTTTTCAAGATTTATGCATGTTTCCTGAAGTTATGAATGAAAAAGCAACATGAAGCATTAAGCTGTTTTTCTTTGCAGCGCCTCAAGTGCGCCTGTCTGCTCTCATGTGTTACAGCTCTATCTTTCGATCTGATCGACGGATTGTGGTACATTTGGGCTCTTTTTAATCGGGAGAATTTTCTGAATATAATCCTGTGCGGGTTTCAAGATCTATGCGTGTTTGGTGAAGTTACGAGCTAAAACGGCACAGGACAGCAACCTCTGATTTTTTTGCTAAGCTACATGACCTAAATCTTTTCTATGTGTTATAGCTTTATGAGAGATATATTTAGATCTGAGCGATGGATTATGGTGAGTTTGGTCTTTTTAATCGGGAGAATTTTCTGCAGATAATGACGTGTCTTTTTCTATGATATATGCATGTTTTATGAGGTTACAAGCGAAATCGCCACATGACAGCTACCTTAGAGTTTTTTTGGGGCTAAACTACATGGTGCCTGTGCAGTTTTATGCGTGTTATAAATTCACGAGGAAAATCTTTAGATGTAAATGGCAGATTATATATGGTTTTGGGCTCTTTTTAATCGGAATCTGCTCTAAATAATGGTGCCTAATTTTCCACGATCTGATCATGTTTTATGAAGTTACAAGTAAAATGGTGACATCAATATATTATTTTCATTTGGGTCTGGGCTTGACTTCTTGTACAAAAAAATCGCTCCAGTTTATTCCCGCCCGTGGTACACTTGGTTTAGAGGGACTGCTTAGCGCTCGTTAAGAGTTGATCAAAATACATTACATTCATTAAAAAGTTGAGATTCTAAGCTTTAACGTGATACCTATCTGTGTTATTCCATTCAGGGGTTGCTTAGTAATTTGATTTTGAATTTTTTCAGCGGGACACCTGGGGTTTAAAGGGTTAAGTGTGAACCAGCTAAACCATTTTCTGCTTGTTAATAATCATTGTCAACTGGGTAATTGTTTGTGCATTTACTGTATTGTTCATTATGGATGCTCTTGTGTGTCCTAAAATGTTCCTTAAAAATAATTTAAAAAGAAAAGTCCTTGAAATCCCTGAAAGAAAAGTGTTAACATCATTAAATTACATTAAATAACAAACCGAAATATGAAATACATATATTTGCCTGTTCTTATTTATTTAGCTATCTTACTGACATATGACAGCTTCTTTGTCAGGAAACCCAACAATTCACTTTGGGTTATAATTCACTTAAATGTACAAGAAAAAAGAAAAAAAATGGCTGAGCAGACAGGGAGGATTGTATGCTTCTTTCTTTCTCTATTTACTTCTATTGGACTCTGCCAAACCAGCAAACAATAAAGAGCTCCAAGACAGTGCCATGAGTCCAGCCTTCCTGCTGCAGTCTCCTTCTTGTATTCTTGTTTAAAACTCCAAAATGTAGTGCATAAAAAAATAGGCAAATTGGGATACAGCGCAAATGATCAAAATTGGAGGGATTAAATATAAAAGTATAATAATCTGAATTGGCCATTATGTCTATGCCTATGACCCTGCATATATGACACATACCATATACTACCGGTTTGAACCTGGAATTAGGTTTACTTTTTGTTGTTTTTAAAGAAGTCTCTTCTGTTCACCAAGGCTGCTTTTATTTGATCATAAATAAAAACAGTAATATTGTGAAATATTATTACAAGTTAATATATATATATATATATATATATATATATATATATAATAAATAAAATAAAATAACTGAATATCAGTGTCAGTTGAGGTGTGTTCATGCCGAATCATAAAGATTAACTTAATGGTCTTGTAACTTTCTATCAAGTGTTTGATTGCATGTGTGAAAAGCGTTAGTGGTAGAAAGTGACTCTCTGAATTTGGCTTACCGACATTGCTACATAGCGACACAGTCACCGAGCGATGCCACAGCTTGTTAAACAGCACTTATTCGGATGTAAGGTTTGTATTTTATTATATTAATAAATATATTCCGCGTGACTGCAGTTAAGCGATCATTAATCATTAGATAAGAGCGGAAATTGTCTCGTTTGGGTCACTGGCTTGCCATGGTCTGAGTCGGAGTGTTTATGCTCTACAAATAAGTCTAACTTTTTCTCAAGTAACCTGTAAACCTACCTGTTCTGTAAAAGCATTGAGCGGCGCAGGGCGCAGCCATTTTTTCCACAGAGGAGAGTCACGTGCTCTTTCAAACAAACAGTAGCGGATGTTTTACACTAGAGTTGAAAATGAAGGGATTTGTTTTATACGTAGCATATTTATTGATACAAATCTGACTTGAATGTAAACACTAAAGTGGGCAAAAATGTTAATTGTACCCATATATGCCATAACATTTCCTGAAATTGACGTTACTCCTTTTCAAGTAGCCTATTTTTTATGTTCTTTTTATTTGGCCTATTTTATATTTTAACTTTTTTTTTTACAAACGTCTAAAGACTATGATCGTATCTTTCTTACTGTTGAGCCTACCTGTTTGTATGTACTTTTCTTTTCATTTTATGTTCTTTGTATTTCAAATGCAGTGGTGATTCTTTGCAATTAACAAAATAATAATCATAATAATAATAATAATAAACTGTAACATTGATTTGAGTCTTTAGTGTGTTACATTTTGATGAAATATTGTTTTAAAATTTTATTTAAATTATTATTAATCTATTTTTTTTATTTTTGGTTAATTGCAAAGAAGAATCAGCACTGCATTTGTATTAAATATCAGTGTGCATTATGTCTTCTGTCTTAAAGGGGAAAAAACTAGGGAAAAGTCTCTATATTTAGGTGAAATACTGATTCATTTTTTTAAGCCAACTGCATATAATGTTGCAGTACACACAGAATCAAAGTACAGAGCATCCGTAACAAAAACACTTGTGTATTAACTTGTTAAGCAGGCATTTTTGCCTTATTTCCATACATAATGACCCTCAATTTTAACTGGAGTGCTTGTACATTGTGTATAGGATGGGTGAAAAGAGTCAAGACAAAGGGGATCTGATTCTCCAAGGCCAGGGAACATAAATGAGGGGTGTGAGATCAAGGCAGCGCTGCACCTGCTGGTGGCAAAGACCACTAGACCTCAGACCAGCACTTTTACAGAGAATGAGCCTAAACAATAATGTTTGTTTCTGAAAATCAGAAGACAGAAGGATATTTGTGATTACGTAATATCATGGTTGAATGGTATTTTCCCAGCTGCGTATGTTAACTATATTACTCTGAATGATATGATTATGCCATACTGTAAAATCTGTCCTGTTTTTGAACTTTAAATCAGTAAGATTTTAAGTTCATATTACATACACACATGCAATGTGTACATATATTATGTTTCCATATATGATGAAATATATATGAAGTGAAATATATATGAAAGCTATTAGAAATTGTGACAGTTGTATATATATATCTAGCCCATACAAATACTGTATGTTTGTGTATGTGTACATTTTTGGATAAATATCATGTACATGTATATCCATCCTAAAACCTCCCAATATGTTGATATTATATAAGTAAATGTAAAAGATTTAAGAAATGTATTACAAAAATGTGTATAAACATACAATATCTGTTTGTATATTGTTTTAATGAAGTTGCATGTATAAATTATATATATATATATATCTTCCTCTACGCAGATAATGTGAAAACTATATATAACTTTATAGGTAAAATATATGGCAATATCACTCTTGATATAGGACAATATATGTCATATATTACATTTCAAAATAGGATTATGGGTCATTTCCTATTCCTGTAAAATGTATTTTCATAATCACTGAAAAGTATTGAATTGCCGGCATATTTTTTAGTCTTGTATATTGCACAGTGAAAAGTAGCATAATAATTCCTCTTCTTCTCATAGCATGTGGTTCACTGTAAAGCACTCTTCATATTTTCAATATAAGGCTTTTGTGTGAGTCATGAATAAAGCAGTTGTTTGCTCTGCTGAGAGTTAGAGGAAAACAGTTTTGGAATAGGATAGGTAAGATTGTACGCTCATTCCTGAGCTATCTGTCTGAGATCTGAGGAAACACACCGACCGAAACACTGACACATTTTCTCTCACACTTATAAGAGCCTGCAGACTGCAAAATTTGAATTGAAACATGACATACAGCTGAGCTTCAGTCAAGTCACAGTCATACGAATGTTTAGTGATTATTTGATTCTTTTGTTTTTGTGTATTTGAGTCTTTTGGTTGATCATTCAGTCATTTATTCTGCCCTCTAGTGATCTAGGGCTCTGACTCATGTGTATATCAGAATATAATTATATGAATGCTGATGATGTGAACTCATTACAACTTTACAACTAAGCCCTTTAAACTTTCAACATAGCCATCCACCTTCACGATGCACTGTTCTCAAAACAAATATCTAAATCGAAGGACAGCAATGCTCTAAAAAAACTGTTATGGAAAATATTTATAAATCCAATATTTCATTAGCATGCATTATATTTATATTTATGCAGATAATCATATCTTAAAACTCTTTATCTTAAAAAAAAAACAAGGTATCAAATTCATGAACAAATTTTAATTTTAATTACCACATGCGTGGCTGTTATTAACATTACGCAAAGTGCATGATGTCCAAAACAGAACATATTTTAGAAAATTTGTTTGAACAAATTATGATCATTAATCATCATAGAATTATGAGCTAGTATGGCATAAACCATGTTGGGTGTAATTAATAGAGCTTGCATATGTCTTACTAGTCAAATTAGTTACGCTTCTGATGAGAGCTGGTTTAACATTTCAGGATTCTAGTTGAACCATGCAGGTAATTTATTTTATGGTTAAGGTATAGGCCTAATTTTCACTAGGCCTGTGTGTACAGGCAGGGGTATTAAGGAGGTGCCAGGGAAAACTTGGAACGATTGTGATTTTGTCTTTGTTACATCCATAAAAAGGGAATTATGATTTTGAAATAAAAAACATGTTAGGGTTATAAAGAATTGAAATGGTAATAAACCAAACAAAAACTCAAATGTATGTACAATTTTAAATTACATTAAATATTGTTTCAAATTGTTCACATTTAGGAGGCATCACAGTAAGCTTTCAGCAGAGCTTCATTGCAAATTTAGGCCTACCAAGAACTAAATTATAAATAAATTGTTGAAACTGAGAGAATCAAATCAGTGTGTGAACATACACACACACACACACACACACACACTGGGACAAGTAGAATGATGGTGTTAAAATGACATTAGCTTTTCAGCTCTTTCCACAGACATCGACGCGCCTCATAATGGATAATAAGGGCTCTACTGCCCTCTAGCGGTGAATCAAGGTAAACCGACTCAGCTCTAGCTCCACCCCATTAAAAACTTCAAAATGGCCAGTTAATAGCTTTCAAAGTGTTTAGAACGGTAAGGGACCAGTTAGTTTATATATACATATATATATATATATATATATATATATAAACTGGGGGCCTTTGGAGCCTCCCGATAGTGTGTAGTTCTAACAAATACACTGTGTGTCATTTTATAGGTGCATTTTAACTGCCTTGCTGTTCAAAATACGACACAGAACCTTTCCGTCTCTGACTCACCCCGGGATAATATTTAGTTGGCGCACCGTACGCACGTGGGTTAACTGTGTGGTGTGTTTTGGTAGAACGGCTCCTCAAAACCACAGTCCATACGGTTATTTGGACCATGCTGAAATCCAAAACATTTGTGAAGAAGACCCGCTCTGGTGGAGTGCTGAAGATAGTGCGCGAACATTACCTCAGAGATGATATCTGGTGTGGAAGTGAAGTTTGTAAGGAGTGTAAAGATGAAGCGCCTGTGCTGCAAGAGCACGCATGCATAGAGAGCAACCTGTGCTCATTTCCGCACTATTTAATCCCAGACACCAATGTGGTTTTACATCAGGTATGTGCTTTTTATTTATTTGTATTTTTTTTATTAATAGCTGTTTATTATAATAAGCGTGTTTGTTATGGACAGTTTTTTTGTAAACGATTCTCAAAATAAAGAATTAGAGGACGTCTTGTTTAGTCACAGTGTTGCCATATCACTAAACGCCGATCTATTATTACACATTAAAGAGGCAGTGTTTTCTGTTCATTAAAAAAAAAATTGGCAAGTTAAAGGTTTCATTCTAAGTGTAGGTGACCCAAAAAATGCGAATCAAAGACCACAATTTGCTTTTTCATAATTTATTTTGTATCATAAAAAACATTAGATATCAACATTACATGAATACATTTTTGTTGTATTTTGTGTTTTCTGAAATATGTTTAAATATGTAAATGAGATATTATGTAATGAAATATGCACCGATTTGCATATATTTCCACAACAGTAGAGTTAAACGTTATAACAGTGGGGTTTTTACCATTTTCTTTTTATCACTCCATATATCAGAAAATACTGTCAACAGCCAAAATAAATCATTTTGAACCATATTTTTAGGAATAAGGTCTTCTATAAATCAGGTGAAGGATATGAACAAACCCTTCTGTAAAGATAGGAGTAAAACTTAAAGTCTGGTGAATGAAAGTGCTGCTGAAGAAAAAAAAACAGCCTTTAAAAAGACATTGATTTAAACGATACAGCCACAAATAGATAAACACTTAAATGTATATTTTGGATGTTTTCTTTCCACTAGTCTGAAAGAAGACATGTTATGAAAAGCCAGATCTCAAAATTGGCCAGTCCAGTGCGTGAATACACAAAGATGTTGCCTGTAGTTACTTGCCTTAAATGAGACGAAATTGATTTGGTATTGGTAAACCACCACTGGCTCTGCACCCATTTACCTAAATTCATTACTTCAGAGTTATGTGCGCTCTAGAAGCTTGCGTTCTGCAAGTGAACGGCATATTATTGTGCCATCGCAAAAAGGCACTAAATCACTTTCACAGACTCTTTCATTAACTGTTCCCTCCTGGTGGAATGACCTGCCCAAATCAATCCGAGCAGCTCAGTCCTTAACCATCTTCAAGAAACTACTAAAAACACATCTGTTCCACCTTTATTTGACCCTCTAACTCTAGCACTTTCTATTTTAATTCTACTTTATCTATATTTATCTTTTTTTATTTAAAAAATACAAACAAACACTAGCTTTCTATTTTTTCTATTCTATCTACTTGTTTTTCTTTGTGTGTATGTATAATATATATATACCTTGCTACGTGTACTGCGTTAGGCTAACCGAGACTTGTCATTTGCACTTATATATTGTTGCTCTTTTGTTAGTTTTGACTGCTTTTATTGTCCTCATTTGTAAGTCGCTTTGGATAAAAGTGCCTGCTAAATGACTAAATAAATAAATAAAGTATTAAATTCTGACAGATTGACATCCTTGAGGACCCTCTGATCAGGAACGTCATCATTCTTCAGATTGTTTTACAAGAGGTCAGACACAGGAGTGCCCCAGTCTACAAAAGAATCAAGGATGCTATTCATGAGAAGGAAAAGCACTTCTACACCTTCACTAATGAGCATCACAGGTAACACTGTAAAAGGCTGTGTTTGTCCTAACAGTAACTCTGTGACATGCATTTGATTTGACTTGAATACATCTTCACAGACGTTATGTTAGGGCCATGCTTGTCATTGTCTCATTTTTATTTTTGTTTTAAGGGAGACATTCATTGAACGAGAGCAAGGGGAAACCGCTAATGATCGTAATGATCGAGCCATCCGTGTCGCTGCTAAATGGTACACAGATCACCTTGCTAAAAAGACCAATGGTGGTTCGCTGAAAGTGGTTCTGCTGACCGATGATCGAGCCAATAAAGAGAAGGCAGAGCAGTATGGTCTGGTTGTGTACAGATGTAAGAGACACTTATTTTTGTCTCTTTTTATTGTTCTTGTTGTCATTGCAGTGGAAATTTGAAGTACAAGGTGCATCTCAATAAATTAGAATGTCGTGGAAAAGTTAGGGCTGGTTTAGGGTTGTCTTGAAGGAATTGTTCAAATTGCATCTTTGGGAGCATAATTCTTAATTTTTTTTCCTTTATACACTACCATTCAAAACCTTTGGGACAATATTTTTAATAAAAAAAAAATAAAAACTTTAATTCAGCAAGGATGTCTTAAGCAACAGCAGTAAAGACATTTATAATGTTACAAAATATTTTTTATTGAAAATAAATGCTTTTCTTTTCATCAAAGGATCCTGAAAAAAAATGCATTATGGTTCCACACTGATATGACGTTACAAAGCTGTTTTCACCATTGATTATAATAATACACATTTCTTGAGCGGCAAATCAGCAAAATAGAATGATTTCTGAAGTATGTGAACTGAAGACTGGAGTAATGATGCTGAAAAATTCAGCTTTGCATTACAGGAATAAATTACATTTTACAATATATTCACACAGAAAAGAGTTATTTTAAATTGTAATAATATTTCACAATATAACTATTAACATAAAAACATTAAAACAAATCTTACCAAACCTTACCAACTTTTGAACGGTAGTGTCACATTCTCACATATTATAACATAATTAGCAATTTTTAATTGACAGTGTTGATCTTCGTGTAAGGATATTACAATAATTGTGAAATGTTAACATTTTCAAAAATTAATACAGGTTTTGATTGTATGTTCTTCCCTTTTGTAGGTGAAGAGTATATCAAGAGCTTGATTGGCAACCCTGAGCTCATGGACAGACTTGCATTACAACCTGATGATCAAGTGTGTACACTATGATGGATGATCAAGAAAGCTTTGAGTTTTATATATCTTTTCATAGTTTTATATTATATTATGATATGTCTTTTATGATTCATTATAGAACGAAATCACTGGCAGTAAGTTACTGTTTCCAGAGCATCTGCCCTTATCCAGGATTCAGAGTGGCATTAAGAACGGAATGTTCCTTCAAGGCACGTTCCATGCCAACAGAGATAACTATCTGGAGGGCAAGGTCTTCATAAATAGAGAGGGGGAGGAAATCAATGAGGTAAGCAGGCTAGCATGTAGAAAGAAAAGTCATTGATTATTTTCATTTGATAAAATATCTGATTATTGTTTTTCTATAATTAGTTCATTTGGTTACACTTTATTTGAAGGTGTCCTCGTTACAGTGTAGTTATACATTTAAGTACTGAGTAATATTAATTAACTACATGTACTTACTATATGGTTAGGATTAGGGATTGGCTTAGGGTTACTTGCTTGTAATTAGGGCTGTGCAAAAAATCTAATGCTACACAAAATCGTGTTCAAAATCGCAGGCGATTCATTGCCGATTATGAACATGATTTTGTGTAGCTTGTCAGTGATCTACGGCTCTGTGTAGTAAATGCCGCTCCATCTGAAAGCATGTGCTGGAGATTTACTACTAATCACAGAACCAGCTTTACTGACGAGTTGAGCATGAAAATCGCATTCTATTTTTTGCACACCCATACTTGTAATTATGCATAATTAATTGTGATTAGAATAGTAAGTACATGTAACGTGTAACAAGGACACCTTAAAATAAAGTGTTACCTATCTTTTTTTGTTGTTGTGTTTTCGACGTATTTTCACCCAAAGATAAAAACTTATTCACCCTCAGGCCATCCAAAATATAGATGAGTTTGTTTCTTCATTTGGAGAAATTCGGCATTACATCACTCACTTGCTCACCAGTGGATCCTCTGCAGTGAATGGGTGCTGTCAGAATGAGAGTCCAAACAGCTGATAAAAACATCACAATAATCCACATAACTCTAGTCATCAATTAATGTCTTGTGAAGCGAAAAGCTGCATGTTTATAAGAAACAAATCCATTAGTAAAGGGGTCATCGGATGCAAAATTAACTTAAAAAAATTGTTTGAACATAAATGTGTGTTGGAAGTGTGTGTACACATCCACCCAGTTGTTGTTTTTTTTAAATCCCTATTTTAAAATCCTCTTTCTCAAATCAGGCTGTTCTGAGATTCCTCGCAGAATGACGTAGTTCTGCACAGGCCCCTCCCACGATAGTTGATTGACACGCCCTGAGTGAGCTGTCATCAGTCCGCCATTGTGTCGACTCCGGTGTAGGGGAAGACAAGAACGTCTCAGATTAAGCGATTGAGGTGTTTTGTTGTTGGATGTAATAAAGAACATAGCAGTCGGCATTTACTCCCGACATCTGAGCCGCTGAAGATTAACGCAGAGGATTAACATTACTTTCGTTTTTGAAAGGAGTGCGCCAATCACCGATCTGCCTAAATGCGTCTATATTCGCGCGAATCATTCGTGATCCAGCTTCATCTACAGATGGAGTATAAGGGGTTTTTATGAACCTCTGAAAATCGCCTTTCCTAATAACGTGCTAGTTAGCCAGTTTCGCGGCTGAAGTGAAGTTTATAGTCTGCTCGTCACCCCATGGAAAAGAGGGGCGAGGTCAGCAGAGCTCATTAGCATTTAAAGCAACATGGACTAGAACGACGTGCTGAAAACAGAGCTCATTTTGACAGGGTAAAAAAAGTGCTTTTTACACTACCATTGAGAAATTGTAACCAAAGTATGTTATAGACTTTTCATTAAGACCCTAAAGAATCATATCAACATGTGGAAAATGGCCATCCGATGACCCCTTTAAAACATTTTTTACTTCAAACCATTGATTTTGCTGAAAATATGAGTCCATAATAATGCTTCCTTTTTCCTTCATTGGAGAAAGCAATATGATGGATAGAGGACTTGTATTGTAGCTGGAAGTAAAGATTTGAAGTTAAAAACATCTTTATGATGGATTTTTACTTAAAAACACGCAGCTTTTCAATTCAGCAGATGTTAATTGATGGACTTTAGTCGTGTGGATTATTGTAATGTTTTTATTAGCTGTTTGGATGCTCAATTCACTGCAGAGGATCCATTGCTGAGCAAGTGATGTAATGCTAAATCTTGGATGGCCTAAGGGTGAGTAGATTTTAAGTGAATTACCATTTTTGGTAAACTATTCATTTTAAAACATTTGTGAGCAGAAAAATCTGTTAACATCACATGTTCTGGCAGGTTCTACTTCAAGGCCTTCAGAATTTAAACCGGGCTGTTCATCAGGATGTAGTGGCTATTGAATTATTTCCCAAAGAACGCTGGGTTGCTCCATCATCTGTTGTGCTGCAGGATGATAGTCCAAATGATGAAGATGCCGAGGAAGATGAGACTGAAAATAAGGTAAGATAAGTCTCATAAGCTCATTTAACTGTTAATATAATTACTCAAATGTATCCAAAGTCACTGTGTAGTTGAATCCAAAAGGCTCTGTTTTGGAAGCTGTGTGCATTCTGGCAAAGTATATTGTGTATTTTTATGACCTGTATGATGACTTCTTGCTGTTGTGTTGTAGCTGAAGGGTGTACCATCAGACTCTAGTGTTCTCAAGCCCACTGGACGAGTGGTGGGCATTATAAAGAGGAACTGGAGGCCTTTCTGTGGGATGCTCTCACAGTCAATGATCAAAGAGGTAACAGTGCTTCACCACTAGCTAGTTTTCAGTCACTGAGGTCTGTTGATTTTGCTTGACATTATTGGTGCTGTTGCTGGCAGTCTTGACAGTGACTTTGTCCTGCTTAGAACTGATTTAAACTTTTTCCTTGGCAAATGCAAAGCCTAATATTGCAAAAGGTGATTGTATAGCCAAGTGGTTTTTCTATTTAAAAGTCTGATCTTTCATTATAAAAAAACAAACAAACTATTATTCAGCAAGGATATGTTAAATTAATCAAAAGTGACAGTAAAGACATTTATAATGTTACAAAATATTTTTATTTTTAATGAATGCTTAAATGCATTTGAACTTCATCAAACAATCCTGGAAAAAAGTATGATTTCCACAAAGATATGAAGCAGCAGAACGAAAGAAACTATTTTGATTTGAGATTGTATAATGACAATGGGAGAGTTGAAATACTCTGCAAAGTCGACTCCATCACTTCCCAAAGAATTTCAATAGAGTTAAGTTCAGGACTCTGTGGTGGCCTATTCATACAAGAAAATGATTAATCAAGCTCACTAAACCACTATTTCAAAAATTAAGCCTGGTGAATCTTAGAATAGTCGTCCTGGAATATGTACATGTGTGTGCAACAAAATGTGATTCTTTTAAAGAGGAGTGATTCTTTTCTATACCCACTGTATAACATACCAGAAACATGTTAATCACTGCAATAATGATCCAATCCTGAATTCTTCAGTATGGTGACTTTTTTTGGCTAGGCAGTGTATATCACAATAAGTAATATTGCAATATTTATAGTTTTTTACTGAAGGTTTGATCAAATAAATGTGTGAGCACTGAGCATAAGATACAGTAGTGTGACTGAAATAACTAGCTGAAGCTCTGTATGAACAATGCTGAGGAGCTAAACACACAGTATAAGAATAATTCAGTTATTGTTAATATAATCACTGTATTTTGCTCTTTATATGCATGACTGCTAAGTCATTTTAAGAATCTCTGTTTCTTGAACAATTACGATATGTTTGTCTGATGTATTGTATTAATTGGCTGTTTTGAATTCCAACACCAGGCAACAAGGCACCTCTTCACCCCAGCAGACCGACGAATCCCACGGATTCGTATTGAGACCAGACAAGCCGCCAATCTGGTTAGACAGAGGATTATGGTTGCTATCGATGGCTGGCCTAAAAACTCCAGATACCCAAATGTAAGTGTCAATGATTTACGGTCTTAATTTATACAAAAAAAAGACGACAAGTTTTAAGCAACAGATTTCCTCAGAGATGCTTTTTTTTTTGCAGTATTTTGATGCAGACTTGAATTTAGTATTATAAATCAATCACGCTCATTGTGTATTAATAGCTACCTTTTCTGAATTTTTATTAAGACTGTTTTAAAGGGGTCAATGTGATGTTGCTAAAAAGAACATTATTTTGTGTATTTGGTGTAATGAAATGTGTTTGTGATTTAAGGTTTAAAAAAACACATTATTTTCCACATACTGTACATTATTGTTTCTCCTCTATGCCCCGCCTTTCTGAAACGCGTCGATTTTTACAAAGCTCATCGGTCTGAAAAAGCGAGGTGTGCTCTGATTGGCCAGCTATCCAGTGCGTTGTGATTGGCCGAATTCCTCAAGCGCGTGACGGAAATGTTACGTCCCTTACCACATGTGACGACCCCGGGCTGGACTCCGCTTCGTCCACGGTGAAAGCCGATCCGGCGATCGACAGCGCGAAGTTGATGTATTTCCTCGGCAACCAGCACGGATCAGCTCCAGGCATGACAAAGCGATATCATCCTCTTTTAACACTCCAAAGAGAAAGGAAAAATTTAAATCGCATCATATGACCCCTTTAAACATAATATGAGTCTGGAAGCCTGAATGCTGAGATTCCACTCTGATCATTTTGAGGTCACAGTATTCTTTTTCTCGATGTCTCTCAGGGTCACTTTGTGAAAAACCTTGGCTCTGCTGGAGATAAAGAGACTGAGACAGAGGTGCTTCTTCTAGAACATGATGTTCCTCATCAGCCCTTCTCTCAGGCTGTTCTTAGCTTCCTACCCAAGATGCCCTGGAGTATTACTGAGGAGGTGGTGTAGTCATGCATTTTGAAAGACGTTGTTGTGTTGGAATGTTTCATGGTGATTGTTGAAATGCTCAAAGCTTGATATTTATCTGTTTTCCTGCAGGATTTGAAGGTCAGAGCAGATCTTAGACACCTCTGCGTGTGTAGTGTGGATCCTCCTGGCTGTACGGATATTGATGATACTCTTCACTGTCGGGAATTGGAGAATGGAAACTTGGAGGTATAGCAGCTTGCATAAATTATCACAAGTGGTAAAGAGAATGCACTAGTGCAATTCCAATGGGTTTTTGTATTGAGTGGTATGCTTTTGTTTTAGGTTGGTGTTCACATTGCAGATGTCAGCCATTTTATTCGGCCAGGAAATGCTCTAGATCAAGAGGCAGCAAGCAGAGGCACTACAGTCTACCTTTGTGGAAAGGTACTTATTTGTGGAAATGTAATGTATGGAATGATAATGATCAAATAAACACAGCCTTGTTTTAACTTCATTCAAAAACATTTGAAAATCTTACCAACCCCAAACTTTTGAATGCTAGTGTAGGCTTAAACAATTTAATAAATAAAATAATTTGCTGTGTAGGGAAGAATCTATTAGAGTTGTTGTTGTTAATAGTCAGTTTTTGGCCTATTTCTCCTTTCAACTGAAAATGACATTTATTGCTTTTTCGGCAGAAACTTTTTTTTTTTAATGGCTGAAATTATGATCTATCCACAGTAATTGTATTTCCTCATTTTGAAAATAACCTTTAATCTTGTAGTGTTTTTTTTATGCATAACTTTCTTTTAATTTGCATGGTAAATTTTGTCATTTCTTTTCACAGAGAATTGACATGGTTCCTGAACTTCTGAGTTCCAACTTGTGTTCTCTGCGGTCCAATGTCGAGAGGTGTGCTTTCTAGCATAACTATTATTACTCAAGTGGTTACTCTTTGTATACCCTTTTTATTATGTATTTACATAGTAAACAATTTAAAACCGTCGCTGTCTAATGAGCACTTCCACCCTCAGGTTAGCGTTCTCTTGTATTTGGGAGATGAACCACAATGCTGAAATCCTCAAAGCTCACTTCACAAAGAGCATCATTAACTCCAAGGTTTGCATCTAATTTTCAAAAATGGATTTAAACTGATGGTTTATGATGGAATGTGCACTGTAAGGAAGTGTTGTTGTTTTATCACGTAAGGCCTCCCTTACATATGCCGAAGCTCAGATGAGGATTGATGACAGCACCATGAAGGATGACATCACGAAGAGCCTGCGGGGCCTTAACAGACTGGCCAAGATCTTAAAGGGCCGGAGGATTGCAAAAGGGTATTTCCATTTTAAATAGAATAAATGTAATCATTTTGAAACACAGCTTTGATCATGAAACCGTCTTTACGTTGACAAATTATAAAAAAATTTCAGAGCGCTGACCCTCTCCTCTCCCGAAGTACGTTTCCATATCGACAGCGAGACACACGACCCTATAGATATGCAGTCCAAAGAACTCAAGTGAGTGCTATATACATCTTTCTGCCAAAGGTTTTAAAACGTTAATGTTTTGAGAATTTTTTTTTTCTTTTCTGTTATTTCTGCTGATTGTATGGTGGAATATAATACCATTAGTTTTTCCCAAACTGTCTTTGTCTGGATTCTAGAAGTTTAAACTTACATTTTTCTCCAGGGAGACTAATTCTATGGTGGAGGAGTTCATGTTGTTGGCGAATATCTCTGTAGCACAGAAGATCTACGATGAGTTCTCAGAATGTGCTCTACTGAGGAAACACCCTTCACCACCGCCATCAAACTATGACATCCTCATTAAGGCTGCAAAATCAAGGGTGGGTGGAAGCTATGAAGTTTCTTATGTTTCATTTTTATATAATCCACATTTTGCAACTACAACATGATGTATCTGAGCAAAAGAGATGTTCAACATCATGTTTTCTGATGTTGAATAATTCACTGAACAGATTCCTGAAGGGTTTTGGCTGTGGAAATCATACCACTAACCGGGGCGATTCTAGGATTTTAATTTTAGGGGGGCTCAGCCCCCAATGAAGGTATAATAAATATATATATATATGTATGTGTGTATGTATATGTTTGACTAATAGGGGTGGTATGCTAAATTTATATACCAAAAAGTGAAGTAGTGCATAGATAGGTATAACATATAAATGAGTAAGCCAAATACAAGTCTTCATGATCTCTCTCTCTCTCTCTCACACACACACACACACACACACACACACCTGTTTACTGTAGGCTACACACATAGTACAACCCTCTTTCCTTAGCGCAAGTATGCAAACCTCTTTGCCACATGCACTGAAAAATGTATTACATTGAAAGTAAAATTTTAAAAAGAAAATGGCAACATGATCGTTTTATACAGTATGCGTTCATATGAGCTTCGTTTTCACTGGAGGAAACAGCTGTGGTGTGAGGAGGGGTGAACGCAGTGAAAACTTAGGCTACAACCGATTGCTATTTTGTAAACCGTATTTATGACAAAGAACAAAACTGCACAGATGCAGATATTACAACAATCTATCGTTAAACACACACCTTGTCCTCTGTTTCTCGCTCTGCGCCGCTGCTGTCTGCTGATTGAAAAAGAACGCGCAGAAAGACGGGGAGGAGCCGATTGAAGTCTGCCACCATTTTCATATGAAATTTAAAGGGGACTGAGGCGATCACGAATTCGTGTACAGTTTATGGAGCTAATC